TGTAGGAAATCCTTCCCTTGTGGCAGCAGTGTCATATTGGCAGCTCATAGGAATATCAAAATTGACATACAGGAACAACTGAATGTTTCATCTTATCCTGAATTCTCACTCTCAGAGCATCCAATACCAGATGCTTTAGAGGGCCCTGTAACCCCCTGACTCTTTCTCTTGTTCTCTCTACACCTATGGTAATTGGCAACACTACACTATGGGGAAAATTTCTTCCTGACCCCAGCTGGTAACCAAATTATGCCCTAAAGCGTGAAGATTGGCATATTTTAAGTTTATTATAGCTAAGATGGTGAAAAAAGAGATGTTTTTCATGTTAATGTGCTTACCAGATTGACATAAATAATAGCTTGAATAGTGAATTCCACAAATCACTCTTAATAACTTATTATTTGGCAAAATTACAATGACAGATGAACATTTTAATCTTTTAAGAGTGCTGATCCCCATGTTTGGCAACTGGTTCTTCAGCTTTACACTATTTGAAATGGATGATAAGAAAAATAGTTTATAGTCCACAATGGTTCAAGATTTGAATCTTGTATAAAAGTGTATTTGGTAAAACATTAATTCATTCTGAATAAACTCTGAGTTTGTTGATGTTTAGCCATTTGATGTTAAGAAGACAGCCAGAATTTAGAGCCGAAATCATTATTGGAAAATTAAAATACATTATGCAAGGTAAGTTCTGAATAAATTCACCCTTAATTCAATTTTCCAAACAATCTACACTGGTGGTAGTACCCTCTTCAGTGATTCTCAGAATACCATGACAACCTCAGATTGAAAAAAGCTAGAATAGTATAATTGTGAAAGTCTTTTAAAATTAGAATTAAAATTAATCTACTCAGTTACATAACTGGGGCAATTCATTTACTTAAGTTTATATTTAAGTAAGATATAACCTTTTGTGTGAGTTATATATTTTAATACCAACTACCACGAGAAGTAGTGAACTAATACTGAAGAGTAGTAAACTACTCTCTTACCTCTTTATAATTCTCTAGGTTAGCAATATGGGCTAGATTCATTTTAATGGTTCTTCTTTTGCTATTCAATAGGATTACCATGTGGTGACCATCCTTAGGATTGATGGTCTAAGATAGCCTCACTCTGAAGTCTGGTTTTGGTGTTGACTGTTTGCAGGACCATTTGTCTCTAGTAGAATAACTTGGTTTCTTCTTATGTAGCAGTGTTCTAAAAGCAAGAAGAAAGGGGGCTAGTCTTAGTGAGGAAATTATTTTATACTCTGCTTGCCTGTTGTCCTATTATTTTATTTTTATACTCTGCTTGAACCAGACTCATGGTAAGCCCAAAGTCAATGTAGAAGACCATAAAATGGAGCAGATACAGACAGTTTGGTTTTTGTGGGTACTTTAACTGTAATAATCTACTACATATTGCTGCCATATTGCTGGCAGAAACTTTCTGATTCCTTAACACAGTACATTCATTACTGGAATATTGTGCTAAATCTGTAAATCTACAAGAGAATTGCATAAATAATGTAAAGACCAATAAAACTAATTTCTTTTTTTATACATTTTATATACAAGTCCTTTGTCAAATACGTAGTTCGCAAACATTTTCCAAGCAGGCTCCATGCTCAGTGTGGAGCCTGATGCGGGGCTTGATCCCACAATCCTGGGATCATACCCTGAGCCAAAGTCAAGAATGGGACACTCAACTGACTAAGCCATCTACGTGACCCTCTTTGCTTTGTTTTTGATGTTAGTGAGAAAACTTTGTTTCTCAGAATTCAAAGTTTGATATCAGATGTTGGAATTTTGTAGATATTCTTTATCAAGTTGAGGAAGTTCTCATTTATTTCTATTTTGCTGAGAGTTTTTACCATAAAGGGGTGTTGGATTTTGTCAAATCCTTCTTTGCATTTATTGATATGATTATGTGATTTTTCTTCCTTAGCCTGTTGAAGTAGTGGATTACATTAATTGATTTTTAAGTGAAAAACCAGTATTGCATACCTGGATTAAATCCTAGTTAGTCATTGTGTATAATTGCTTTTGTACATTGTTGGAGCCAATTTGCTAATACTTCAATTGAGTTAGGAAAGATTTTGGATTTGTTGATTTTCTCTGTTAATTTTTTGTTTTAAATTTCATTGATTTATGATTTAATTTTTATTATTTGTTTTCTTTTTCTTAACTTGAATTTAATTTGCTCTTCGTTTTCTAATTTCCTAAGGAAAAAGATTTCCTTTTAGATCTTTCTTCTTTTCTAATATATGCATTCAGCGCTCTAGATATCCCTCTAAGCCCTTCAGTTTCATTTCATTTGTTATATGTTCATTTTCATTTAGTTCAAAATATTTTTAAATTTCTCTTGATTTTTTTCCTAGACCTATGTGTTATTCAGAAGTATGTTGTTGAAACTCTAAATATTCTAAGATTTCGTGTTATCTTCCTATTACTGATTTCTAGTCTAAATCTGTGGTCTGAGGGCATACAATATATGATTTCTATTCTTTTAAATTTATTAAGATGTGTTTTATGGCCTAGAATGTGGCCTATGTTGGTGAATGTTCCACAAGAACTTTAGAAAAATGTGCATTCTGCTGTTGTTGTATGAAGTAGCCTATAGATGTCAATTATATCCAGTTGATTAATGGTATTGAATTCAAGTGTGTCCTTAGTGATTTTCTGCCTGCCTCATCTGTCCATTTTTGATACATAGGTGTTGAAGTTTCCAACTCTAATAGTGGATTCATCTATTTCTCCTTGAACTTGTATTACATCTTACTTCATGCATCCTATAGTTAAATGCATATATATTAAGGATTGTTTTGTTTTCTTGTAGAATTTACCTCCTTATCATTATGTAGTGGCTCTCTTTATCCCTGATGATTTTCTTTGCTCATAGATGTACTATGTCTGAAATTGATGTAGCTCTTTCCACTTTCTGTTAATTAGTGTTAGTATGGTATATCATATTTTTTGCCATTTATTTACTTTAATACATATGTTATTTAATACATAAATATATGTATATAATTATAATCTTTATATTTAAAGTGAGTTTCTTGTAAACAACGTGTAGTTGGGTGTTGCTCTTTGATCCACTCTGATAGTCTCTGTCTTTTATTTGGTGCATATAGACCACTGGTATTCAAAATGATTACTGATATAGTTGGATTAGTATCTGCCATATTTGTTACTGTTTTCTCTTTGTTGTCCTGTTCTTTGTTTCTATCTTTTTCTTCCACTCTTTTTCTGCATTTTGTGGTTTTCACTAAACATTTTGTGTGATTCCATTTTCTTTTCTTAGCATATTCACTATGTAATAAAAACTTTTTTTATTATTTTCCCTAGAGTTTACAATATGCATTAACAACAAATCCAAGTCCACTTTCAAATAATACTATATCACTTTATGATAAGGAATGTGCTTTATAAAAACAAAGTGATCTTAATTTTCTCTTTCTTGTTCTTTTATCATTGCTGTCATCCATTTCACTTGTACATAAGCATACACACACACACACCACACACACACTCACAAGCATACATAATCAAGTACATTGTTACTATTATTATTCTGAATAAACTGTTTTCTGTTATATCAATTAAGAATAAGAAAACTAAAAGCTTTTATTTTATCTTCACTTATTTATTCTCCTATGCTTTTCCTTTCTTTATGTGGATCCAAGGTTCTGATCTGTATTATTTTCCTTCTCTCTAAAGAACTTCTAATAATAATTCTTTCAAGACAGGTCTACTGGCAACAAATTCCTTTAATTTTTGCTTGTTTGAGATAGTCTTTATTTTTCCTCAATTTTCAAGGATAATTTTGCAGGTTGTTAGGTTGATTTTTTTTCTTTCAACACTTTAAATATTTCACTCTACTCTCTTTTTGCTTGCATGTTTGCTTTTGCCCTTGGATAGATAAGGTGGTTTTCCCCCCTGTGGCCTCCTTCAACATTTTTTCTTTATCTTTGGGTTTTTAAAGTTTGAATATAATATACCTAAGTGTAATCTTTAAAGAATTTTTCCTGCTTGGTGTTCTCTACACTTCCTGGATCTATGGTTTGGTGTCTGACATCAATTTGGGGAAAATTCTCAGTCATTATTGCTTCAAATCTTTGTTTGTCTCTCTCTGCCTTCTTCTGGTGTTCCCATTTTGTGTATATTATACCTCATGTGGTTGTCCCACAGTTCTTTAATATTCTGCTCTGCCTTTTCCAATCTTTTCTCTCTTTCTTTTTCACTTTGAAAGTTTCTAATTGTCATATCATTAAACTCAGAATTTCTTTCCTCAGTCATGTCAAGTTTACCAATGAACCTATCAAAAGTATTCCTCTTTACTGTAACAGTGTTTTTGATCTCTAGCATTTCTTTTTAATTCTATTTTAAGATTATATTAGCCATCTCTTCTTGCATGTTGTATACTTTTTCTCCTAAACCCCTTAGCATGTTAATCATCTGTGCCATATCTGACTCAGGTCTTATACTTAACTCACCTCAAACTGTGGGTTTTTTTGTTTTTTATTTTTATTTTTGCCTTTGAGTATGCCTTGTAATCTTTTTATTGAAAAGTGGACATGATGTATCGGGTGAAAGAAGCTGCTATAAATAGGCCTTTAGTAATATAATGGTAAGTTATAGTGGGAAGGGAAACATTTTAGAATCCTGTGAATCAGTGAAAAGACTGATTAGGTTCCAGTCTTTTGGTGAGCCCGTGCCTTTGGACTGTGAACTTCACACCTTCTCAATTCCCATTTTCACATACCATAGGTGGGACAAGATGTCTATGTGGAGCTGACATTGGGTATTTCCATCTCCCAAGTAGGGTAGGATCTGGTAAAAGAGTTTCTCCTGAGGGAAGGTCTTGTTAAGAAGAACAGTGCTCTGGTGTTTATTTTTCCCTACCTTTTTTTAAGAAATAGTAGGGAATTTTCTCTGATTATTCATTGTGAGAGTCTGGTAGAGCTCCTGGAGATAAAACTGATAAAAGTGGGAGGCTCCATATGTCTGGGTACTTCTAGATCTCTTAACTCTTAGCCTTGTCTTCCCTGGGCCTCCAGCAATTTATCATTACAGTTTAGATTTTCCTCCTATGTTACTGGTTCCCAAGACATTTTCTGCTTCTGAATTTCTGCTGCGGTAAGTTGTGATTCTCTCTCTGTTTCTGCTTGTCTGTCTCTCCAGTTTGGGAGGAACAACAGTTTAACCTGTGACCTCAGATAGATCTCAGAAGAGTTGTTGATTTTTTAGTTTGTTCAGTTTTTAACTTGATTATAGGGTGGAGTGGCTACTTTTAAGCTTCTTACATTCTGGACTAGAAACCCAGAAGTCACACACTTACTTTAGTTTTGTTTTTGCATTTGGTATAGTAGCATGAGTGAAATGTTTTCCATTTTCAATAAAGCAGAAGCTCTTCACAGAGAAAGTAGGTTTTAAGGTGAGCTAAGGCAACAAAGTTTTGAAAATTCAATGGTTTTATGGCCAAATATTAGACTGCATTTTGAAAAGGTCAAACTCTAAAAGGAATATTAAATAACAAACTCTGTATTATAAATTCTGTAAATCTTGGATACCATTTTAATGATATCTTTGCAAGTGGGTATTACACCTGTTAATTAAAGTTGAAAAAATAACCAACATCCTCATTATTAGTATCTATAAGTAGCAATTCATCTGCTGGGTATCTCAGGCATATATATTTAAAGCACAGTGTGCTACATAAAATCAGTGATAGTCAGTTTAATTAGCATCTGATGGGAGTTAGCAATTTAACTTCAATTTACAGCATAAAGGTTAGGTGTGGTGAGCTCATTCTATAAAACTGGTGCTATTGTAATAATGAACAGTAAATTGACCACAGAATAAAAAAATAAGAGTAGAGGAAAACCAACCACAAGTTTAGTAATCTGAAAAGGTACTATATTCCAATAAAAACTGTACTCTAATTTTTAATTTTTAAATACATTTGTCATTACATTGTAGTGCTTATGGGAAGCTAAAACCTGAAGTCTAGTCTAGACCTAGGCATAATGAGGAAAAAGTAATCATATTAACAGCAGTTGGTCTTACCCATCTGACTTCAAACCAGTTCTGATTTTTATAAAACTTTTCAGGTTACCAGATGCTAGGGGCAAATTCTTTGTAGTTTTTATGATTTCACACTCAGGAATCAAGATTATTTATGTCCTTTTCTACCTTCTTAATGTATTTAAAACTACCTCACCTATTATTTTGCTGGTCTTTAACCTGTCTCAGCGGTTTTGATATTTGTCCCTAATGATTTTAAATCATTCTGTAGTGTTTGTTTTTATAAACTCAGCTCACTTTTATAATGATGTTCATCAATTTGTATATCCTGGAGAAAAATAGAAAATTAAACACAACAGCAAAACCCTGTGTACAATGGTTTCGCAAACTACCTTTGAAAAGTTGCTATCTCAGGAAGATAAGAAAAGTGAACATGACCCAAATTTCTGATACTAAATTTTTTCTTGGGAGAGGGCAGTTATATCTATACAAACTTTTAAAGGTTGTATTTTCTTTAAAGTATATCCACCTATGAATATATTTTTCTAACATCCACTTAGAGATCTTTTTTCACTACCAGGGCATCAGAAATCAATGAAGTTATATAGTTAGAAAAGAAGCAGAAATATTTCTATTAAAAGCCAGAGATTATTTTAGCCATAAACAGATGTGAGGAAAAAAGTATGAGCCTTTGAGTATGAAGTAACAAAGACAATATGCATTTGGTAAAAGCACAATGACAAAGCAATAAAATTAAACAAAAAAGGGAAGCAAAACAAGAGCAAATTCCCTCTAACAGGGTAAGTTGTATATTCTATTGTAAATTAGGTGAATTTAATCTTTAGAATTTGAAACCTCAAATTCTGTTTTTCAATTTTTCATCGTAAAGCCCTATCTTGCCCATTTTGTTGCCCTGTGCCTTTATCATCTCTCTTCCTCACTTGTGTGTCCCTGAGAAATTTTCTTTTGCTTTAAAACACAAAAATGATGGCCTCTTCTATGAACTGTACCTGTAGGTTTTTCTTTTACTTTCCACTTTTCAAGCATATTATTCTATAGACAACACTGCAGAGTTCATGTGTCTTCCCATGGTTTCATGGATATCACGTCTTACTTCTTACTAGGAAACTTTCCCTTGAGGACAAGGCCCAAGACTACTGCTTTCTTTGAAACTTCAAAGTATGCAGTCTGCTGATGTGTTAACTCAATAGGTACTCAGTAAATGTTAATTGGTTGAGTATAGGAGCCAATGAAAGGAATGCAAATTATTTTACCTTTGTTACGAATGGTTAATCTATTCTTTCTTAGGGCTGGCTTAAATTGCTGTAAGGGCATTTGTTGGAGCTGCTTATTAATTTAACTTGTTGCTGTTGTAGAGCCAAAAGACATTGGCTGGCTTTCTGGTAATGATTAGATTCATTCTATAATATACTTTTTGGTCACAAGATTAGAGATCCAATCTGACAATTACTCACTGACTCCTGAGGTGACCTACATTTTCTACAGTAAAAAAAAAAAAAAAAAAAAGAAGGAGGGCTGCAGTCAGGGAGCAGTAGTGAGGATCACAGACGTCTATCTTGTTTATTGGGTGGAGATTTTCCAACTTAAATTAATTAATTAAATTTATTAATGTGGTGAGTCTCTTCTTCAGTCATGGGACTGATTTGAAGTCAATTAGAGGAATACTGTCAAGGAAGAATGTATATTGAGTAAAATTTTAGCTTACACACACACACACACACACACATCCACATCAGTCTTTTCTTTTTAAGCTTTGAGTTTTAAAACTTTACCATACTAGGACAAAATTCTTTAGTTGAAAAATAAAATGCTAAAACATCTGATTATGCTTATTTTGCCTCAGGTAACATATTTATTTTAGAATTGATAGGGTACATGAAAGATGTATTTGCCAAGATTTTTGTCTGTTTAAATCTGCAGTTCCAAGGCAGTGTTTTAATCCTATTAAAGCTAATTGAATGGAGTCTGCAGGCCTTGTCAGTTAGGTGAAGTTCAAGTTGTAAGTATTATTAAGAAAAGAAAAATATAAGAACCAAACAGTAACATCTAACTTCTGCCATTTATTCTTTCCACTTGAACCTTAGGGCAATGTGAAAGAATGCTTTCTGAGTTCACAGGGCAATGCATTGGAGACATTGGGATGAGATCTGATCTTTGAAAGGACAATTAGTAGGCTAAAAAAAAAAAAAAAAAAAAAAAACCCCTGTGTTTAGAAGTTTAAATATTTCTTTATGGAAGATCCAGTAGCTCTACTGTGGATAAAGGTCTTACAGTGTTTCCATTAAAATGCCACTTTCTGGAGCAAACACTGTCAATATAAAAGTTTGCTCCAGGCTAAAGTTGGCATCAAGATTCTAGCCTAGAAGCTGTTTTGTTTTAGAAATGCATTTTGGACCGGTTTAGCTTAATGGTTAAGGAGATGACTAAATGTGTCCAATTGCTTTTTTGCCTTTTTTTTTCCAGTGTAGTTATGAAATTGTTTCTTCAATGGTATTTGCAACTGGACAATTTTTTCTCTATGCAACTAAAACAGGCATTTGTTTTAAAAAAAAACAGTTTGGAACTTGGCACAATTTCAATTTTGGATGATTTTGTAAATTGGGTTAAGTGATTAGAGTTCTTGTTTATTATTATTTCAAAATTTTGTGTTGAAAATTTTTCTTCATTTTTAGTGCAACCTAATTTTGTTATCTATTGGAAGCCAAATATCTTTTTTTTATGTAGGGTCTTGAGTCTCTGTTCTTATTCTCCCATAGGAAGATTTTAAAAATAAAGAATGATAAATTTTTGATGACAGTGATACTATAAATATTTATGAATTGCTTATATTAAAAAACTCCTATTTGTGATGACCTAATTGGGGAAAAATCCTAAATTTTATGTGAAAGACAGGGCCAATAAGTTATTTCACCATTTACACAGTATTTGCTTTTACTTAGGATCTTACATTAATAAGTTTTCAACAATTAAAAGTTCTGTGTAATCTAACCATGAGATTTCAGGAAAGGTATTACTCTCAATTCCAGTTTAGATCTCCAGAACAGCTTCTCCAATTTTTAACATGGCATGATTTTACTGGTAAAACATTTTTGAGCACCTGATAATTATGTATGTCTATTACATTTAGAAATTTATACTCATGATATTGTACTAGTATATTTTCTGATAAAAAACATAGTTTTGTATTTGAGAGAAAAATAAGCAATAGTGAAATTCTAATATTTTCTACTTTCACCCCAGCGATGAGACCTTATTTGGAGACCAACATCCTAGATAGCAGCTGTCAGTTTGTGGCATAGCTTGACATATCTGGGAGAAGTCATGCTGGACCTCTGTGGTTAGGGACCTCTTCTCAAACTTTGACACCCTGGGCCTCTGGACAAAGGAGAAGTTCCAGGGGTACTGACTAGAAGGACAAAATTTAGCCTCTTTGTTTCAAAATCAGCTTCTTCATATTTTCCTATTTGTGTACATTTTACTCCCATAGCTAATGATTGACATCTACCTGTTCTCAAGGTCCAACTTCAATGATCCTTCTTCAGAGATACTTTTCTTAGTCTCTTTCACCCTCAGTGGGAATTAATATCGCTTTTCCTGAATCATTATTCAAATTTATGTTTTAAGAGTAGTCATAGCTACCTTTATCAGAGTTTAAAAATATATATTTATATTTTTAAATTCACTTATTTATGTTTTTTTAGCCTCTGAGACTATTGAATATTTCATCACTGTATCCCCATCAATGTCGATGGCTATGATTTGTTCATGATGGTCATTCAATAAACACTTTTGGCTAACCTCTTGCTCAGGCCACTGTAAAAAACTTAAATGGTCTCCTTGCTTAAAGGTCAACCCATTCTCATCATTTTGCATATTCTGACACATTACATTCCTGAAGTAGAGATCTACTTGTGTCATTCTTTCACTAAAAGCTTTCACTGGCTACTTTTCCAATGAAGTGTCTACTCTTCATCCTTACATTCAAGGCCTTAAATGATCTGGCCTATTTCCACTTTTTCAGTGTTAGTTCTTTACTACTTTTTATGTACCTATTTTCACATCCATGCATTATGCTCATTATTCATCAAATA